TTAGTGATTTTAGGGTTGAGAAATATAGATTTTATTTGGTGTATAGAGCAACAGAACTACAATGTAGGGACAGGTGAATGTGGATGGCAGGGTCGTGGAGGTGTTCACGGAGGAGACCGCGGGAAGAGTGAGAATGAAGATGTTGAAGAGTGGGAGAGATCTGTGAGGGAGTGAGGATATTTTGTGTAAACGAATGTATGTACATGGTGAAGGTCGCGGGAGGAGAGATTTAACGAAGGGATCGGTGAGTGAGGGAGATCCATGAGAGCGAAGAAATTTTGTGTGTGTGCAAGCGGTGTGTGAGGTCGGTGAGAGGGAGGAGCGTGATTGTGTGAGTGTGAGAGTTGTGATGCTTGGAATAGGATGTGGGAGGTAGAAGAAGAAGAAAAGCAGTGTGTGAGGTCTGTGAGAGAGAGGAGAGTTCAGGGTTGCGCATGGGGTCTTTAGTGTAGGCTGCGGAAGGAGGGTGAAGGAGGAGTTTGGTGTGCGAAGAGGTTCGGGTAAGAGGAGAGATACGGTATGGCTGTAGGGGGAGGTAGATATAGAAGGGGAGGAGAGCGTATATGCTGGAAATTGGGGGAAGAAAAGGGAGGCCGGTAAGGCGTGGTTCAAGGGATCAGGATGGAGGTGTGGGTTGTATATAGGTTGGTATAGCTGCTGTAAATTTAGTGGTTGGCGAGGGAACATTACCGGCGTGCGTGTGAAATGTTAGAGTGTGTCTTAGGGGGAGAGGTATGTAGGTTCATTAAACCGGTTAAAGGTTTAGGAGAGCTGCAGGACAATATGGTAAAGAGAGTATGGGATGGTCTAGTTCTTGAGTTGGTAGTATTGGGGGACGCCGATATTGGTGGTCGCTACCTAGAAAGAGTAAGTTGATCGCCGATAGTGGTGATGGTCAGGAGACCCCGACGGACAAGGGGTTGGGTCGCCGATGTTGGTGACGGGAGAGAATGGTATTTGTGTGTGTGAATGGCCTATTAGGGGTCGAGAGATAGAAGGTTGAGTTTTGGTCGCCAATATTGATAACGAGTGAGAACATTTGTACTCATGTTGTGACCTCGGAAGGCGGTCACATTTGATAGGTAATATAACTAATTTACGGGGACAAGTTAGTTTTGTGTAATCCCAGGGTGGCACTAGAGTATGATTTAGGTGGTATAGATGGGGTACACATAGGAGTATTGGGTTTTCTGTTGTTGCATGTGTTGTTTGTAACCATAACTAGATTTTCGGGATAAGTTGATGCAGTATAGTTCCAGGATGGTACTAAGGTATGGTTTAGTTGTGTGCGTAGAGTGCATATAGAGATACTGAATGTTTTGTTATTGCATGTGATACTTGTAACTTGATTTTTACCGTATTGAGTTATGTGAACTCACTCTTTATCATTAACAGATGAGGTAGGGATGGAGCTGGAAACGGAGTTACTGGTTTCCGAGCCTAGTATATAGCGCAACGGGCAAGGATTCTTGTTGTGGGCGGAATAGAGTCTGTAAAAATTTATAGTAGTATGGACGATATCTACTAGAAGTGTATGAGATTGAATTACTTTGTGATGTATAAGTAGGATTGCATGTTTATTTTTATTTTGAATAATGAATTGCGGAAGGGTTTCTAAGTGTGTGATTGATTTGAAATGAAAATTTCGTGGTTGGTCATGAAATTATCTTAAACCGCGCCGTTTAAAAAAAAAAAAAAAACAGGGCGTTACAGTGCTCTTTAAATAATGAATTTCCTTCTATTGATTTAGCCTTACTTGATGGAACTTCAAATAATCATATACCAGCTACCAGTTGAGAAACAAGTACATTAGAAATCCCAAGAGTTAAATTATCAAAGAATAGAGATGTTATGAAATAATGAAGTGCTGCAACTTTCTATTAGGGCCCCGTAAGTTTGGAAAAGTGGTAATAACTGATAATTTTCAGAATGTTTCAAATAATTGAAAGAGATTTCTCTTCAACTAAAAAACACATTATCAGCAATTAAACTGAAATAAAACAAAGAACTTACAGTTTCAGATCCATAATACTGCACTATGTTCGGATGCCGTAAGCGACTTAGTAGCGCAATTTCCTGTCAAATATCATAGTTACATATAACTCTTCCTGAGATACTTGAAAAAATTGCAAAGAAACAACTACTTATATAAGTGTATAATTTTTATCTTTTTCATGTCACCAACCCGAAAAAAATCCACCCAAAAAATAGGAAAATAAGACTCACCTGTCCAAGTTGTTGCACACTTTCCCTCGATTTTACATCATCAGAAAACAGAGTTACCTCCTTCATTGCACACATCTCACCACTTTCCCTAGGATACAAGCAACAAACTCAAATCAGACATGAATATTTAAAAATGCAAATGACAGTAACAAAAAAGTTGATAATAATATTGCAAAGTGAAAATCACAAGAGGAACAACAATCTGCATCATGAATATTCCCAGCCTAAGATTCAATAGAATAGTATGGCAAGGATGGATTTGATGATCAATATGCCTTAAAAAAGTTAAAAACTAGAACTAGCGTTCCTGTCCCATTTATATCTTGATAGAAGTTAAACTATGCAATATGAAGACGACTGTATCATACAAGCAACAATAAGAAATCAAAATAATACAATACAAAATGTAACAAAGATAGGCCTCATCAGATCACCAACCTGTTAAAACCAAGATATACATGTCCAAAGGTGCCCCTCCCTAACAGCCGTCCCTTTTTCCAGCGTGATCCAGGACTAACTGGGGTTTCTGTCCTACCAGGACTTCGGGGCACCGACGGAGATGTTACTGTTGAATAAGAGGGAGAAAATGGACAGGTATTTGAGATTGTTAGGGGCGGGAGGGGCAACCGGTGGCTTTGCTTACCATCATCAGGTCGACTAGCAGGTGACTCAATTGTAGCCCCTGCAACTCGTGGATGGAGTGGGGTGACAGCACCACTGTGAATTCTGGAGCTGGGACCCGGGCTTGTCATTCTAGGACTAGGTATTGGAGAGCACTCAGGGCTACACCTACTTTGAGGCCAAAACATCTGCCCATACATATCTCCACCAACTGAATTATGGCCAGAATTATGACCTGATCCCGGACTTGAACAGTGTCCAGAACCAAGCAAGGCTATGTCTGAATACTGTTTTGGTGTCCACAGACCAGAGTTTAACACTTGCTCTTGGCTAAATGCGCTAATTGGACTTCTAGAAGGACTTGACATTGAGCTGTCTACAGCACCATAAAAAGCAACTCGAGGAGGAATCTGTAAACTTTGGACATGGGTATTTAGCGGATCCCGCTTAGGTGACGCAGATAGAATCTGATTATTGAAAAGGTTATCAGCTGCCGTCAATGACTCTGTTGAGTTATGAGTCACAATAGGAGATTGATCCTTGTGTTTTCTGCTTCAGCAAAACCAAGAAAATCTTTTGTCAGTGTGTGAATCAAGTAAGGATAGAGACCATCCAGAAGAAAAGTAATTAATAAATGGAAGAAACTTACCGCAAAGGGCTACTTGTTGCAGTTTGTTTTCCATTTTCGTAGTCTGAAGTCAGAGGACTCAAGAGATGTGAGTCAGATGGATCATCACTATCAATAGAACTATCACTGGAAACAGAAGCAGTGGCTAAATCAGCCTCAGCCTCAGTATGAACCAACCCACTTGGAACACAACCAGGTTTTGGATTTGGAAGAAACAGAAAAGGCTTAGATCCTCTTTCACATCCAGGTTTCGTTGATATGCTTATTCCAGAATCAGTACGACTGACATTATTTACGTGCATACAGGTAGTGGAAGCGGTTGAGCACGAGGCCTTTCTGCAAAGCTTTGACAGCGTGATACATGGGTAGAGGGTGAGGGTGACCTTGATGGAACTCGAGATAGAGATCCCCTTTCAGAAACAGCGTCATTAGAACGTCTCCTAGACCCTCCAGATCTATTGTTGGACTTCTCTTCAGATGCAATCCTAAATTTCCTGTGTATTGCGTCGATGAAACTTTCCTTGTTTCCTTTTTTCTTTTCATCTTTTGACGAAGATTTTCCCCACCAGGAAGGCATATTTATGTAAAGAAACTTACAAGAAAGAAGGTCAATTACAAGATAATAAATAAGCTAATGCCAGTGTAAAGACGAAACTTGCAGCCCACATGGATCAATCACAAACTTTTAGATTGATGCCAAAGGAATGGGTATAACTTCATTAGGAATGTTAAACCATATGTCCAAGCACCTGAAGAGTTATTTGCAGAAAAAGAAAAACTGTATAAGAGCCATATCATCAATCTCACAAGAAATAATCATGACGAAAATGAAAATGTGAAAAAAGATGGATAAATGAAATAGGACAAACATGATTTGGGGAAAAAACAGAAAATGATTCCATTAGAATGGAAATAGCCAGAGAACTCATTGTAGAAAAGGTATATCAATAGGCCAAAATGGGCAACCACTGCCATAAAAAATTGATCATAATAGGCAGATATATTAAATCAAAATTGGTGAAAATGGAAATTAATCAAAGTATTAGAGTTTGTCCTTTTTCTATCCAAATAATTAAAGTGGCAAGCAGCAGCACACTCTCTATTTTTCCTTCTTAGTTCGTGAAAGGAAAACATTAATAGAATCCAATATTTTTTCCAAAAATACAAAGGCTTCGAGTACAATTCAATCCACCCGGTAAACTTAGCATCAACAAGGAGTATTTGAGATCAAACCAAGAGCCCAGGACAATTCATAAAATAAAATAAAATCATGTGGGATCAGTATACAGTGACAAAAACAAATGAATTCCCTATCATTCAAAGGATTAGATACCCTTATGAAAAGTTTGAAGAGTGTATGGATGCAAGTAACTTCAGAACTTTAAGCACCTTATTTTTCCTGTAAGTAAAGAAGATGACTCTGCGTTCCAGTTGACTGCTCAGCTATTGACCAAGCGATGACCAATCCCCTGGCAACAAAATAACCACTTCATATACTTTTGTCGCCCATATCATCACTAAATCGAGAAAATAATACAATTTACACAGACATGAGCAACCTCTGGGCATTCAATTATCATCACCCGGGCAGATCCATCATTAAGTAAACGATTTTCAATAAAAAGCACATGATAAAATGCTGAACCCAAAAATAATCACTCAACATGCATCCATGAATTCAACTATCCAGATACATCAACCACACCAAAAGACGTAAAGTTAACAAACTAAAGCATTTTAAAAAGACCAATTCGATTCAGATAAATCATTAACAGGAGGGGGAGGGGGTAGTTATACTAGCCTGCAATACTAGATCTGCTTGATTTGAAGAAGGAAATTAGCTATAGACTAACAACACTTCTGAGAACAACCACTGCCACTTCGAAGCTCAAGAAACTGACAAACACACGCACAATCCGATAAATCAGGAGCTAAAATCTCGTAAATAACCCAATTATGCAGCTAAAAAATCGAAGCTGAGAACCCTAATCGTTACTTACAGTGCAGCAGATGTGTGGCCCAAAAGGCTCATGTGCTGCAGAGACGGCGAGGAGACTGAACTGAAAAGGCAGAGAATGCGAAGGGAAAGCAATGTAAAAGCAGATGGGAAGGAACCATTCAGTGTAGCAGAGAGAGAGAGAGAGAGAGAGAGAGAGAGAGAGAATTTTGCTGGTGCGTTAATTTTGTAATGAGAATGAATGATAAATTAAAAATCATGTTATAAATTATTTACTCGTATTATTGGACAAGGAAAAATCCTTGTACTACGCGTCATTTTAATGTTAAACTGAGACCTCGAATCAGAACCGTTCGTGTATCTGTGATCTGACGTGAGTTGACTTCTCCGTCAACGTAGAAAGATAGGAGGTTTGAGATTAAATGTGGTACGTGAAGCATGTGATTATTGAATTTAGTTATTTTTTAATTACAAGTCACTCAAAGAAAAAGAAAAGATATTTATTCCCCACTATAGTTTATATGATGATGATGATGATTTATCCCATGTGCTTTACGCGATCCATTTTTTTCTAATTTTCTTTTAAAAAAAAAAAAATATCCTCCTACTTTTGTCATAAATTTTAAAAGTTTTGGGAAATTTATTTTAATTTTTGATTAAAAAATTTACAAAATAATAAATAATTCATTATATAAATGTGAGTATGAACTAAGTGAAGAATGTTTATTTTAAAATTATTTAAAGAATAATCATAATTAATCATAATATAAATGAAGAATACATAATTTTAATATGACCTTAAAAGTATGAAAACACTTATCTAATTAAGAAAATTTTTTAAATACCTTTTTTGAATAAAAAAACATCAGCAGTATATTTATACGTCTCACTTTTTTTAGGACATTAATATTTTCGCTTATTTTATATTTGTCACTTTAAATATTGTATATAAAGTTATTAATGACTTAATATACTTTTTAGAAGATATAAACTAACATGAGAATATATTATTTTTTGTCTTTATTTATGGTTATAGCAAAATAAATAATTAAAAAAAATTTGCCTTATCTGAAGCTTAAAAGAAAAGCTCGAAGTTGATGAAGTTAATATAATTCGAGGAAAAAAGACCTTGTGTCTAGTATTACTGTTTGATATAAATTTTAAACTTATCGTATCTATTGATCTTGTTCCACTATATAACCCAAAATGATTGATCTTTGTTCTTTAAACAGCATGACTATAACATATATTTTAAGCTTTAAAATACGATTTGAAAGCCTAAAATACTTGATTTTGTTCAAAAATTTTATTGTATAAACATAGTAAAAACTATCTAAACTATCAATTTAGCTTGTATATATTGTTAAAAATTAAATATATTATTTCATTATCTTGTACTGAAGAAAGTATGTAGTCATTAACTTTTCTGAATATATAATTTGTATGAGTAAAAATGATTTTTTCTTAAAAATATTTAGAATTTTTTATTTTTTATACAGACACAAATATTATCTATCTATAATGGCCTTAAGTGAATCATCATATTTGTAAGAAGAATATCTCTAAAAATTTATAATGTTGTTTTACCATCATTAAGATCACCCCTTAACCATATTCAATTTTTAAAATCTACTGTAAAAAATATGAGATCTTCTATATTTGAATTAAAAGATATAAGGAGTTATTGCTCAAAAAGGCAATTGCTCGTCTACTACCTTTATGGATGATAGGGAGGATTGATCGAAAATCTCCTCCAAAAACAATAACTTTACTACCAAAATGTTTTTCTAAACTAATTGAATTTAAAAATTGAAAATGTTTCTTAAAGTTCTATTTAATGCTTCATAACAAATTTATGCATCATAAGAGCCCTATCCCAAGTTTTTATATTTACCATTATATTGAAGCAAACTCCTTTTTTTTGTGAGAATGTCATCAGTTCATAACTTTTATATTCTCTCTTTAATAAATTTTGGTCTTGATATACTATTCAATAATAACAAAGTAGAGAAAAGACACCTTAAGTATGATCCAATTCCTCATATGTTTATTTATGTTATCACATGTATATACTTTTTACCATCATCTAATAACTCATTGCATAACATGCATCTTTTAATGAACCACATACAATTTCATTAATAGTTATGATATCTTCATAACTAATGATACTATTGATAACATTTAATATAATTCTCTCATAATACATTTCATCACATTCTTAAGGAACACAGAAAATTCATCTGGTAGAGAAATTTTATTTCTTTAGGGCCTCTTGATGATCTTTTTGTTTATAAACAAATTTAATAGGAAACTTAAAATAAGTCAATTGACTCATCTCAACAAAATTTTCATTTTAGCCTCCATCGAACAAGAAATTTGGACATTTTTATTTCTTCCCTATAGAGGACATCGTCAATTGAATCATCGTTAGTAAATACAATTTATTCATTAAGAAGATGGAACGACAAAAGTTCAACTCGATACATGGAAGATCTAAAGCAAAAATTTGCCAAACTACTTTACATTGAGATATATACCTATAATCTCATGGAGATATATATATAGATGTATACTTTGGATAATCTCATAAACTTCATCAAACTGATAATTTCTAAAATCATAATTTTTATTAACATATTTCGGTAAATACTTTATTAACGTTGACTAATTGTAATGTTCAACAGTATTTATATGTCAACGGTACTTTATTAAAAGTTTTGAATTATAAGAAATCACAAATCTATGATCTAAGGAAATACCATTCCTCTTAACTATATTTTTGTCGTCCCTTTTCCTATAGACAAGAAATCCATATTCATCTACAATAGTTCTTTCTCTAATTTATTGTGGAAGTGCTCAGTACATTTTCTATCTTTTATGCACATAGACCATGAATCATGTACATCTTAATAGCATCATAAGAAATAAGATGATCTCTTTGGCTAGGAATTTATGCAGAAATAGTTCTACCAATATCTTCTCATATACGGAACTTATCATCATGTTGTAAAAATAACAATAATATATGAACATTGGGAAGTTCATGCTTCTGGAACTCAACCGGATATATCACTGTATAATAAATACATATTTTATTGCTTAACACATTAATAACATATTTTTAATTATATGATTTCAAGAATTTAAAATTTCAGAATTAAGTTTTGGTAATATGCATTAACTATTGTGTAATTTTTACAAGGCATACCTGCTTTAACTTATGTTTAATCCAAGCGAAGTTTTTAATCCTTTTTTTAGACCCAAAAATCCTGAGATCCTCAAGCCCAATTAAAGCCCAGAACTCAAGGCCCACATATCCGTTTACTTATCGGCCCAGTTCTCTCCTCCCCTAAACGGCATCGTTTTACGCCAAAACTTCCATCTTTTTCTTCCTTGCTTTAAATGGATAGAGAGAGAGAGAGAATTGGGTTAGCTTCGACTGGAAAGAGGAAAGCATGGTGGAGCAGAAGAGTGGTTGAGGCGTGACGAGGGCAGTCCAGGTGAGGAAATGATGGGCTGACGGTAATAGATCGAGGACGTGACAGAGAGGTGCAGTGTGAAACGAGGTCGAAACAGGGATTTTGCTTCTGGTTTCACAGGAAGGATGATTTTGATTGCTTATGGACGTGATGGGGAAGTATTACTCTGGTTCTACAGAAATACCAAATGGAGGTCAAGTGAAGCAACAACGAAAGGGAATTGAACGGACAAGGAAGAGCGGAGTGACGATGGAAGCAGAAAACTGAGAAAGAAAAGAGAATTGCAGGCAAGGCAAATCCCTCTTGGGAGAAACAGTACATCTGAATTCCCTTCCTTATGGTTTAATTTTCTTTACTTGATTGCTTAGTTTTAATTGAGGGAATTGTGTTAAAATTATGAATTAAAGTGAGAAACAATGAATTATGTCTCTTGTTTTTTGGATGCCAGTAACGTTGTTAATGAATTAATTCATAAATTATTATTGAGAAATCAGATTGATTAAAAATTTTAAGAGTATAACAAAGAATCTGTCTGAATTGAAATGATGGTTTTTTGTAATATTTCTGGAAACAAATAAACTTTTTTATTTTATCATTTAACTTAGAAAAGAAGTATCAAACAATATATTATTAGATTGTTTAATTTTTGTAAATACTTTTGTTTTGCAGTCGATCAAAATAGACACAGTGCATATAAACATAATAATAAATAAACCAAAGTACAGTTGGACACACACACACACACACACACACACACACACACACACACACACACACATATAGTACTGATAAAATTTTTTTCACAAGTCCTTATATATATGGTAAGTGAAGATGGTTCATAGCCGGTGATAAATATGATTATTAAATGTCATGATCTTGATAATATTTAATATAGATATCATATCATTGATGACATTAATATGCATCATAATGTCGACCCAGAAGAAATAAGAAACAAGTTTCACATATAGTAATAATTTTCTCTTCATCCTACACTTTAACTCATTTCTACCCCATTGAGGAAATCAATTTTACCACATTCATCATTTCTTATCTCACAAATTTTCTCCATTATAGGCTTCAAGTCTCTATTCTGCACGTTCATCTTCAAACCATATTTCATGAACAACGTTAATGACATCTTCTGCTCGACACGATGGCCGGGTACCAAACTCAGCCGGTGGCGAAGCAAGACTGCAGCTGCAACCGTCTTCATTTGTAGGTAAGCTAAATCCTTACCTAAACAAATTCTCGGTCCGGCATTAAACGCGACAAATCTGAACTGATCTTGAAGCTGAATCTTCTTGCCGTCTGATGATAACCATCTTTCGGGCATGAATTGGAGACAATCTTCACCCCATATAGATTTCATCCGACCAACTGCATAAATAGAATATGTTACATTTGATCCTTTTGGCACAAAGGTTCCACTGGGCAATACATCATTTGCAATAACATGTTTGGAGTCTTGTGGAACTGATGGGTATAGTCTTAGTGTCTCTGATAAAGCTGCTTTTAAGTATATCAATCGATCAACTTCTTCGAAAGCTAGAGGTTCTTTAAACCAGTTTGTGGTGTCACTACCTCGTGTCTCCATTAGAATGCTGCAAAGTTCCATGAGGATTTTCTCTTCTACTTCTGGGTTCTCACTGACCAACCAAAAGAACCAGCTCAATGCGACTGATGATGTATCTCTTCCAGCTAAGATGAAGTTGAGTGCCACATGTTGCAGAAATTCATATGTGTATGACTCCTTTTTCTTCATAAAGCGAGATAATAAGTCATCATGGAATGAGTCACCTTGTTGCTGACTCACTAACTCTACCTTACGCGTATTGATGATATGGGACAAATACTCATCAATAAACTGAAGACTTTGGCTCAAGCTTACTTCCATTCCAAGACGAAGCCATTTCTTCAACTTCCATATGATCTCAGGCAAGATCATTCGTTGAAGAGTAGCTTCAGTGGCTCGATCAAAAGCCGTGGCGAACCCATTTTCCGGGAGCCCTGGTGATAATGTTTGTGGGTCTTTCCCGAAAGCTAAGCCGCAAATGTTATCAAAGGTAAGTCGAAGCAAGATGTCTTGAAGGTCAATCGGCTTGGCTTCCAGCTGAGCTGCGTCAAGAATAGGACAAAGCCGGTTCTCGATGGACCGGTTCACCCATCGACCCATGGCTTGACGTAGAGTCCGGGTGGTGAATTCTAGTGCAGCAGTTTTACGTTGGAAAAGCCACGTGTCACCATCAGAGTTGAAGATTCCATCACCAAGCAAATCATGAAAGACAGAATGCCAAGTAGGTCCCTTTGGGTAATTATCGAACCGGAGCTTAAGTATATGTTCTATGTTCTTGGGATCGCACGTGACAGTCACGAGACCTTCACGTCGGCCTATGATTGGAATTGCGCAGATACATGTTTGGTACGTGCCGTTACAAGCACGAAGATTTTCTGCAATCCAGTCATGGAGGCGATTAGCGTTTTGAATAAGACCGGGAAGACTACCCAATAAAGGCCAGACACGTGGACCGTTGGTGGATCCAAAGGCCAGCTTGAACCATATTACGTAAGCTGCAATAGCTGCTAACACCATTACAGCTGTTGATAGATCCATGTGTTTCTGCAACCCTAGCGAAATAAATTAGTATGCACTGCAGGGAAACTCACATGCTTGCCCAAAAACACAAGGAAAATTACAAAACGAGTGCTGATATCGCACTTGCTTCGATTGAAAACTTGAGAAAGGAAATGAAAATGGAGACGATGAGCAAAACCCAGATGAGTTCAGGTGAAGAAAAACGAATGGTGGTTAGTTTCGATGAGAAATAACAATGTGAGAGTATGTGTATATAAAAGAAAGAGGCCTTGAGATGTGTGAAGGAGAAGGAAAATGGAGAGGAAGAAGTAAGGAAAGCAGCAAGGAGAGTACGAACGAAGGGAAAAAAAGGGGAGTGATTTTATAGAGAAAGAATATTAATGGAGAAGAAAGAAGCAATAAATACGGTAGATAGCTCAAACATTATTGTTGAAAATTTATCGCTCTTAACTCTACATGGACCAGCTTGTCTATAAATACACAGCCGTTAATGACCATTGGGATTGTTGACAACTCTCCAATATCTATATATGTTATATAATGTGAAATTAAAAAATAATGCGAGCACTGTAACATAAATTTTTAAACCTTAATTACTTGATTATGTGAATTATTTTACGCACTCTTTTTCTTTCTCAATATGTCCATTAAGCATAAGCTAAAAAAACAATGGGGAGAGAATGTTTGAAATTACAAAAATATTGTTTAAAATAGTATGATATATATATATATATATTTCAAGTTATTTACAGCATATTTTAAAAAAAAAAGATAATTGTTTCTATATATATAAACATGTTTATATAATTATAATGACAAATATTTAAAAAGAACATTAAGAAGTGCTTATGTTTTATATTATAAAATTTACTTTTTGCAAAACCTAATAAATATTCTTGTTTTAATATTATTTAATTTAAAATTTTAAAATAAAATGCTTAAACTAAATTTATAAACACTAAAGAAAAATATATCACGTGTTTTCTTAAATACTAATTACATTTTCTTAAAAATTTTCCTTTCCCATTAAATTATTATTATTTTTAATCTCTATATGGGAAATATAAGCTGTCACCTAATTTTGGACGTCACCTTAAATTCAAGCATTAAATGAAGATGTGAAGGATTTGGAATTGGTTGAAGATTTTTCTCCTTTTTTTTTTTTTTTTTTAATCTTTTGGGGATAAAATCTTAAGTTAGAATTGAATTTTTATAAATTTGACTTTTTATATGTTACCATTTATGAAGTTTATAACAAAGAAAAAACAGAAATCATTTATTAAATAATATATATTTATTAGTAAAATAAATAAAATTAATAATCTCATAATTTCTTAATAATTCAGTATTAGTATTTAAGTATCTAATATTTGTTCTAATTTTTTTTTTCCCTTTTGAAGATAATTATCTAAAACTAATTAATAACGTCCTAAATGTTAAAATAATGGCATTAACTAAAACCCTTTTAGATGAAATTGAACAAAATTTTAATGTTAATTGATCAAATACTCGTCTAGCTTTAAATATTTATCGTAAATGTTTAACCTATTAATATGTATTATTAAGGGTTTAGTTTACGTTAAGTGTTTCTATGTAATTTTGTTTTTTTATTTTTGAGCAATTACTTAATTTTGATATTTTTGAAATATTCATAATAATATCATATAATTTCAACAATTTTGTGATTAATTTTTATATTTAAAATAACCCTAAAAGGGTTATTTAATTTATGATTAGTTATTAAGGAAAGAATTAAGAATACTAATCTTTAAAGTTGTTGTAAATTTATTTAAAATTTGTTTGATAATTAAATTGTCACATTCATATGATATTGGTATATAGTATATTTGGAGTACACGTCTAATTTAAATAAAATAATTTATCATATAATTTTTAAAAAATAAAATTTATTTGAAAAATAAATTAAAAAAAAAAGAATCAAATACATAAAAAGTATCAATATATAAAAGCATATTCCCATAAATATTATGAGAGATATATATATATATATATATTATCATTAAAATCAATCTGTCATTTCAAAATCAAATATTAATTATTATAATTTATTATTTGGCCATTTTTTTTTTTTTTGGGGGGGGTTAGAATAAAAATTGAAACACAAAATTCAT